ATAATTTATGAAACACAATAAAAAAATATAACACCTACAATAATATATACATATATATATTTATATATTTGTACACGGCATGAAGATGAACCTTAAGGTGTATGTTGAGGAGTCCGATGCTGACGAGTCATGAATTCAAAAGACGCAAATGGTCCCCAAAACTTGAGAGCGTGCTCGGTACTTTAAAGATAGTCCAAAGGGTATATATACCCTCGCAGTTAGGACAGCCATATATATAGCACAGCAGCTGTTCATTTCTTTTGGAATTTCCCATGAGCAACACACCTTTCAGTGAATGCATGGATGTCTCAATTAATCTTTGGTAAAACTCACATTAAATGCTTAATTTATTCAGCCAAGTATATTGTAAGGAGAATGTGTTGTTTTATTAATAATATTTGTAAAATTTAAAAGTTCAATTATTAATTAATTTATTCAGTCAAGTATATTTTAAAGATTATGTGTTATTGTATTAATAATACTTGTAAAATCAAAAAACTCAAATGATAGTAGATTAAATAATTTCTCTTAATGTTAACTGCTTTTATAGATATATTAATTAAAAAATATTTAAAATATTATTTTTAAAATTATTTTACATTTAATATATTATTTTTATCAAATTTTAAAAAATACTAATTATAAATTTATTTGCACCTAGCACTTGTTGTGATACTTTTACAGGGGCCAAATTTCTTACTTACCCATATTTTCAGAATCGCTTCAACTATATTTACTTGTTAAATACGAACTATAAAATTCTTGGATTTTATCTATCATGAAACTTGTCTTGTATAAAGCTGTATACAGCTCAGATAGTATTATATTTATATATATATATGTATGTATATGTATAGGAGGAGAAATTCATGTATATTAATGTAATTTTTATATTTTAAAAATTTTTTGAATTAAAATTAAATTTATAATTCATTTGAATTAAATTAATATTTTTAAATTTAATAATTTTGATTAAAAAAACTTAAAAAAATATAAAAATTTTACCAATGTAAGTAGATCTTATATTAGTATAAGTGGATCCCTATTCCTTATATATATAACAAAAAAGTTTGAAATTTACAAATATTGTTTGAAAAAAAAAAAAAAGGATTAAAGAACTAGATAACTTTCTATTTTTGGCCACAACTAGTTAACTTGTTTATGATTTTCTTTCTTCTTTTTACATAAAGATATTGAGTTGTATAATTTGAGATTTTTTTTCTTGTTCATTTTAAAATTTCAATCTCTAAAATTTTAAATAGAATCTTAAGTTCTAATCATCAGAAGTGCCTTAATTAAAAACCTGATTAAGATATGATAAAATTGATATTCTTTAGTTTAAGATGGTTAAAAGTTACTATTATCGTAAAACAATTTTTTGGTGAGACGAGAAAGAGTTGCAAATAAATAAAAGAAAAGAAAAAGTATTGAGTGCAATAATAAATAAGATGAAACAATATTAAGTATAAAAAGATTTGGATTGGATTATCTACAGTTATTAAACAGTTTAAGAATGAAGCATGTGTCACATTAGGATTGGATTCACAAGATTACGATCATGTTTGGTGACAACGATAATGAAAACTGAAAAAGCCTTTGAACATTTAAGATCTAAGATGGATTTTTGTTTGCTCCATCAACCACCATTCAAGTGTTAAACGTAAAAATCAGGGAGGCTTATTGGTTTGGAGAAGAATGAGCCACATGTGCCTTTGAATTTCTGGTCTCCTAAAAATTAAAACCTAAACCTGCAGTGTGCAGTGGTTATCCAAATCTAAAGGCCAATACATTTCCAACTAATCCTTTGCAAAAGATAAGGTATTGTCAATTTTTGTACTTGTGAATGAATACAATTTCAGGACATGCTTTGTGGCCATGAACCAAAACCTCCCAAAGGATATGCCTCTGATCTCTAATGCCTTCCTTTTTTTCCAACTCTTATCCTCTAGTTTTGTCAATTTACGTTGTCCTCCCTAATTTTGATTTTAACATATAATGTGTTCTATCTCAGGTAGAAAACCTAACACAAATTGTCATTTATTTGAATTTTAAAGATAATCCATGTTGATGCTATCTATTAACGAAGAAATGCATAATTATTCATGATTAATGAACTTTTTTATTTAAATTGTAGTTAATTTATAGGAGATAAGAATATTGATATTTAAACAATATAAATGTAATCAATTTATTCATAATAAATTATTTTTAAATAAATATTATATCAAATCAAATTAATCAATGTAATAACACATGACAAATAATTAAAAAGCTAAGCTATCCATGTAGAACAAATTCCTCTTTGCTAAAGGCTTTAAATTTTTTTATGTATATAAGATATATTATCATCAACTTTTAAAAGGATTTATTTCATATATTACTATTATTTTTTATAATTTTTAATTATTTATTAATAAATTTAATAATTTCAAATCAGTTATTTACCTAAAAAATGTCAAATAATTTAAAATTCTATTATATAAAACTTTACCCTAATATTCTTAATAGTTATTTTTTTCATTGTATTTCATTTCATTGTCACATTTACGTTTGTATCCAAATAAATATTTCATTACTAATTTTAATTTTATCATTACAGTAATTAATTTTAACATGACTGTTATTTTTAATCTTATTAAAATCAATTTTATCGCTCATTCAAATAAAATTTTAGTTAAATAGTTAAAATGATTTTTCTTAAAAATATATGTGTGCGAGTGTATGTATTTTTATAATTATTAATTTTTCAAAATTATACTCATAATTAAGTATTTCATTTATAAGATTAACATAATAATAAATTATTATATTATAATTGAGTTATATTATTACATAATCAATTAATAAATTATAATTTAAGTAAATAACTAAACTCATTCCTAATAAAACATGAAAATAAAATCTTAAGGTTCTAAAACTTTTTTTTAATCATTGAATCAATGTCTTGTTAACTTATAATTATTAATTAAACATTTCGAAATGGTAACAATCTTTAAATATCTTTTAAAAATAGTAAAAATAAAAAAAGTTTCTGGCCGTAAATCTAAGGACAACCGAGATATTTGTTGAAGCTAGAAGTAAAATATCTAAATATGGCAAATCTCCGAAAATATAAATGGATATTTAGTAAAATATCTTAGAAGAGCAAGAGGCCTTTGACCCTCGAAAAAAAAAATTGCCAAAAAGAAAAAGGCTGTACGATGACTATGGAAAAAAATTTTAAAAATTTACACGATGACACCTCATGTTTTATTTTTTTGTATTATTTGTCTGGAATTATACTAGAGACCCAAACATTCTTTGAAATTACCTTTTGGACCAAAAGGTTTACAACTTGTCTTTTCGCTTTTAATATATTATACAAACAATTACGTTGTACGTAGTATAGCTATTTTTATTTATATTTTCTAAAGGGATGTATTTATTATTGGCAAAAAATGTACTTATTATTTGCTTTCTATTAGAAACATTTTATCGTTAGTATTTAACAGTTTGTTGCTTTTATTATTTTTTTTTTGGCAGAGTCTGGATTTGAACTAAATAAATCAGTATTATGCGTTTGTTTTTATTTCATTTATCTTGGTCTTTTATTCTAGCAACTGAATTTCAGCCTTTTCATTTGAAATTTTGAAAATTGGTTTTGTATTGTTCTATATTAGCTGCCGATGATATGTGAATATAATTTAATAACTTAAAAAGTAAATAGTATTTGAATTCTATATTCAAATATGTAGTTAAATTTTATATTTATAAAAGTTATAAAATTTTATGCTTGGTTTTAATTTAGAAGACTAATAAAGTGAATAATCTATGGTTTAAGGATTATTTATAAAGTTGTTTTTTGGTATGATTTTAACCTTTAAATTTTTTATATCAAACTTTTTTCTAATAAAAAACAATTTTGGAAAAAAGAATCAAAATCCTACCATTTGAGTAAGAAAATAGATGCATTTAAAATGGGATCAAATGTTCAAATGTAATATCAAAATTACTGTTTATATTGCTTCAGTAACTACTTTAATTTTTTTTCAATTTTATCCTGGCTACCAAACAAAGAAGGATGGAAGAAACTGGAATTAGATTGGTGTGAGAAAAGTTTATTACCTTAAAATCTTAGGGGCAGATATGCAAAACTCGTGCAAATAGTTTGGTTTTAATAATCTCAAGCCAATGAACCTCATAAGCACAACGTTTGATTAGCATCTTCCACACAAAAAAAGGGCAAAAGACACCAAAAAGGTCCAATCAATCATTGCTCTCATGAGATGCCCAAAACCCTACCCGTTTCCCTTGAGACACGTCAAAATCATCCAACCAATAAACAAACATGACACCTCAGCCTCAAAAAATCTAGAGCAGCCAATGAGAGGATGCCATCTGAGCAGATAAGAAAGCGTTCCCATAAATCTTCAAAGAATTTTCCAGGGGGGTATCGGTGGCATACCTGGATTCATCCAAGCCCAGTCCTTACAACGTTGCCCATCATCAGGATTACATGCTTTGGCTTGTGGGTACTCAAATGCCCTTCATTTCGCCTTTGGAATCGGAATTACATAACTGTCAACATATCTTTTATGCATTTCTTTGACTCTTTAAAGGAATTTTGTAGATGGCTGAAAAATGAAAAAAAATATATATATTACATCATCTTATACGAAATAAATCCAGTCATAAAGCATCCAATTAGATTCTACAAATTTGCATTTAGCAAAATATTATCCTCTTTTTAAAAAATCAATTTGACATTAACTTTTCACTTTCAGGTCAGTTTCGATGTTTTAATTGGTACGTGCCCTTGAAAATGTTGTTCTAAGACACATTAATCGGTTAAATGACTTAATGTTACCACTTACCTGAAATTCTTGCATTTTTTTTTTCTTTTTGTTGAAACAAAGTTTAATGAGAAAAAGAGAGGAGGAAGGTCATTATAGTAAAAGGCAGGTAAAAAGATATAGAAAGTAAAAAATAGAAAAGAGCCGTCCTTGAGACAAAACCAGCATTGTCCTTTCTTCTGTAGTCTAGCTCGTCAGTATAAGTCCCACTCCAAACTCTAAAAAGAGAGAAAGGCAGAACTGGAGCAGGGCTCTGCATATATCGACACAACCCCCAACGGATCTTTCTTTCTCTTTTTCTCTTTCCTCCTCGTGACCTGCTCTACTTCTCCTCTCTTCCTGTCCTTGTGCTAACAAAAAACCCGTTCTTTTTTTTTTTTTTTGGTATTTTTTTCATCTGTTTATCTTTTATCTCCTCAGCTCAAATTCTACTTACTCTTGTTGGCTGCCCTTTGCTTTCTCTTAGGTAGGAGTATTTCTTTTCTTTCCATTTTCGTCCCTTTTTCCCAAAAGCTAGGCAGCCTACATATTTCTGGGTTTTTTTAGTGTTTTGTAATTCCATTTGTTTACTAGGTGTTAAAGGAGTTAAGTTTGTTGCATAGAATTCTGCTGTTTATTTGTTTAGTTGTTGCTGTGTGGGGTTTTTATGGGTTTTTGAATTTTTCCTTGGAATTGGAGTCTTGTTTTGTTAAAAAGAAAAAAATGGTATGGCATATTCCCTTTCAGTTTTTCCTGTAGATATTTCTTTAATTGGGGGGTTCAGTATTTTAGGTTGTTCTTGTTTACTACTTCATTCTTAAAGGTTTTGGCTTTTTCCTCCTTTTATAACTTTTGACTCTTGTACTTCCAGGGGTTTAGGGTTTTGCACTTTTTTGGAGGAAATAATTGCTTTTCCAATTCAGGAACCAGAAAACTTTGAGCTTTTCTTGCAATTGGGTCTGAGAATTTACTTCCCAGTTCTTCAATTTCTGCAAAACCCTTTGTTTCCTCAAATGAGTTTTCTTTGAATTCCAAAAATTTCATGCCTTTTTTTTTTTTTTAGATCTGTTGCTTTGTATTAACCTTGTAATGAAGGGCATAAACCTGAAATTTGAACCTCAGCTGCTGTTATCTAATTGCTAATATAATTCTCAATTTTTCTTTTCTGTATCGGTGGTTTTTCCTTTCCCAGGTCTTGAGTTTAGTTTTTTGCACATGAATTCGATTCAGTGACAAGAGTAGTAGAACTTGAATTCCTATAGAATTTTCAAGTTTTTTTTTCCTTGATATTATCTACAGATGTCTTCGTGTTTAATCGGAGGCGGCAGGGCCTATGCTTTAGACCTTGAAATAATAAAATCTCCATCCACTTCAACCAGAACTTCTCACACATCATCATCACCTTCTTCAACCCTTTCTGAATCCAGCAATTCCCCACTTGCAATCTCCACTCGGAAACCCCGAACCCCTCGAAAACGTCCCAACCAAACCTACAATGAAGCTGCATCCCTCCTTTCCACTGCCTATCCCAATATATTTTCCACCAAAAACCTTACAAAACCGCGTAAATTCACCAAGGCTCAGGACTCTTTCTTCCATGAATCTTCTGAATTGCTGTTGCCTTTCCGCGTAATTGACGACTCTGGTTTCTTGCTCCTGAATCAACCAATCCGAGAAAAATCCAGTTGCTTAATTGAGCCCAAAGTCGTGAATTTTTGTGACAAGTCCTGGCAAAGTAGTAGTGGAGAAGTCAATTCCCATGGAGGAGGTGGAGGAGGTTCCATGGAAATGGAATTCAGCACTGAATTCCAAGAAGATTTCGATGCAGAATCGATTCTGGATGAGGAAATTGAGGAAGGTATTGACAGCATTATGGGAAACCTTAGTGTCAACCAGGACACGTGGGATGAATCCAACGGTAGATGTCAGGGTGCTCAAATCAGCCAATTTAGCCAAAATGGTTCATGGTATGGGAATCCCATGGGATTAGGATTGGGAGGGAAATATGAAATGGGGTTGGGGTTTGGATTAAGGAGGGGAGTACGAGCATTGAGACATGTTGATGAAGGGAACTGGTGGAATTTCCCAACTGTAGATGTGCTACAAATCTCACCAAAAACCAACACCAAGGCCACCGCAAGAGCTGAGAAAAAGAAAAAGAGGGTGGAGAAACCAATTGTTGTGGTGGAAGCAAAGAGTTTGGAAATGCCCAAAGAAAACCCAAATCGGAAGCCCAATCCTGGGTTGCAATTGAAACTGAATTACGATGAGGTGGTGAATGCCTGGTCAGACCGTGGCTGCCCTTTTTCAGAGGAACCTCCAGGGTCTGAAGTTCCTGGAAATGATGTCTATGTATGTTTCTCATCTCCAGCTGGAAAATCAAAATTTCCATGATTGCAGTTTTGATAAACAATTTCTGCTACAATTGTAGTAAGTTAACGCTTCATGGCAATGGTTCAAAAACAAAAAAAGCATCATCACTTTTTGCAGACAAAAGCTTTTTATTACTATTTTTATCATCCTTTTAATTTACTCCGTTTGTTTTCAAATGTTTTCATTCTGTTAGTAACTAGATAGAAAATGGGAAGTGGGTCCGCGGGGGTAGGCATCGACGGCTCTTGTGAGCTGACCTTTTCATATTTGTTATTTGGTGCGACCCTACAGCTTTTTAATTAAAACCCAAAATCAATCGGACGGTTTACAAAATTTTTAAAAAATGAAAAGACAGAAATTTGTTTTTTCTTAATAAGTGATTATGCTTTAACTTCGTTTCAAAGACAATTAATTTGTATCTTAATGCTTGGATTTATTTTGAGGCGTAGGCGTCATTTTCGGGTTTATTTCAGCGTAATATTTTGGGTAAAATAGAATGAGAATGAAAATGACAGTTATTTATTAAGAGTAGATCGGATGAACTAAAAAAAAATAGGGCGCGAGGCACTGAATCATTTCCTTCGATGAACTTTTGGGGCAGGCCAGGCTGGCGCAGATTGATTTATTCACGGAGGGTGGAGGGGTGAGGGAGGCTAGCGTGCTTCGCTACAAAGAAAAGCGGCGTACGCGCCTCTTCTCCAAGAAGATCAGGTATCAAGTCAGAAAAGTCAATGCTGATAGACGCCCCAGAATGAAGGTTTGTTCTACTTTCTACTGATAATATACTTCTTTGTCTCTTCTGATCTACTAATTTGTAGGGTCCTATTCTCTTTTCCTCTTTTGTACTCGTCCTTGTTATGTTCATTTTGTAGAAAAGACAGAATAAAAAAAAAAATTAACTGGGTTTAGATTTGGAAGGAGTATATACTTGGGAAAAATATATGCTTGATTTGGATGAGTGGAACGGTTTAGATATAAAATGAAGGTTCCGATGCGATGAGAAGGCTTGTAGAATTACATAGAAGACAAGAAGTAAAGAAATAAAATGTTAAAAAAAAAGTAAATATATATTATTTAAATTTAACAATATATATTTTTTTAGCTCGGAAAAATTTGGTTCATGTGTTTTTACAAATTTAAGAGATTTATCCGTAAAATTGCAATAAAGTTGACTTGCTTCACTTAATTTCTTTTCTTTTTTTTTTTTTTTTTGCCTAAGTATGTAGTCTAAAACTCCACTAAAAGATAAATATTTAAAAAATTAATTAAATTAGGTGATAAAATGTAAAAATTTTCAATTAATACTCTCTCTGATATTTTTCTTTTTGGATTGAAGGTTTGTTGAAAATGTTGCAGGGGCGATTTGTAAGAAGGCCAAATTCTTCTACCACAAGTGAAGAAAGGTGACAAAGATTGGGGAACCAAGAATACATGCTTTCACTCCAACATTACCACATTTAGCTTCCTTTTCCTTTTTTTTTTTTTTTAATTATATTTTGTGAAACTTTTTGCCTTGCACTAAAAGTTTAAGGATATAAAGACTAGTTGCAGAGAAATAAGCCAACAAGCTTTTTTGCCTTGGTTATTATTATTATTATTATTATTATTATCTTTGTGTCTCCTTATTTTCTAGTATTTGGATGACACTTATTTTATGCCAAGAAAAAAAAGGTTTTGTTGGATTCAATAGTAGCACATATAGGAGGCAGTATTAATTAATTGACTATTGGAATTCAATCACAAAACATGTTGGTTTTTTAATATTGAATGAATTTGGTAAAGAATTTTTTTTTAAAAATAATTTTTCAATAATGATCTCCTAATTGTCCCTCCTTTTTTTTTTTTTATAGCACCAATGTTAATTTAAAACATTTTATAATTGTTTCTTTATTATGATCCTAGATAGTTAGATTATGTTATTAACTAAGTTTGTTATGCACGTGCTTTGCATGTTAATTCCAATGTTAGGTAATATTGAAATCTATAAAATTTTTCACAATTATATGATTTCATATTACATCATGGAAATAATTTTTTTAATATTCTACTCGAATTTTAAATGTAAACAAGTTGTCAAAATAAAAAATAAATTAAACTATCACTTTGCAACCGTAAGTGAATATAGAGGTTCGTTTTTCCTAATCTATTATGTAATATAATTTTTTAAAAATTTTAGTTTATGAAAAACAATTGAATGTACCGTATTTAATCCTGTATGAAATTATTATATATAGAATCCTTTCAATGGTTTTCATCCACTAGGATCCGTTTGGATAAAAAATTTGAGAGGACATTCAATGGCATTTTTAAGTATAAAGGATTGAATATATGTTATATGTAAAAAGAAATTTTAAGAGGATTCAATGGAATTTCAAGTATAAAGGATTGAATATATGTATGTATATATATATATATATTTATTTATTTACTTAGTTTTAAGGAATTTAGATTCTTCATCCTTGGAAAAATGGTCACCTTCTGAAAATTTTGAGAGTTCAAGCAAAATTGTCCTTTTTTTTCTTCTAAATCAGAAGCTACATAGAAGAACAACATGATCATTATTGACATCCAATTAAGTTTCCTTCCATTATGTAGGGTTGGCCATGAAGATCATGTTACGTTATTCTAAGTTTATTCGAGATCATATATGCTCTGAAAGTTAAAAAAAAAAATTAAAATTTTTTTTTCTTTTCTAATATTCACTTAAACCAAGGAGGATGCAAATGTCATAATCCGCGCGATGGTCCAAGTCTATGGGTTTTTTCGGAGTCAAGCAAGAGTTTTAGTTTGAGCGACAGTGAGCTAAACTGCCAGAGAAACTAGAGTCAAAGGTGCATCGGATGTCTAGGCGCTAGACGAAGCCCCAGGGTATGTAATGCGGGCACTAAGGAGCACTCTAGGGGCCCAAGCCGAGTGCTCAAGTTTGGGAGCTTCTACATGGGCCTAGGCACAGGTCCAAGCGCGGGAACCACAACAAAGAGAGCTAGAGCCTCCCAGAAAATGATAGAGTCTCTTATGCTTGAACTAGTGGTTTTCATAACGGTTATGGAATCACTAAACGTTTAAAATTTTAAAATTGAAAAAAATAGAAGAGTCACTATCAATTTTTTTTTAGAATGTAATTGATTATTTAAAATTTTAATTTTTTAGTAAAACTATAAAAATAAGTTTATAATTTATCAAAAAGATAATTTTCAATTTACGAAAAATAAGATTAAGTTTAAGAGTCAGTTACGTGTGAGGAAGGATTAGCACCTTCACAATGCTCATAAATTAGTACCAATTAATCATGTATTATTTTTAGTGTTTAGATAAATGGTTTCAATTTGAAATTTAATAATAATTTCTTTCATTTTTTGAAAAAATATAATTTTATTAGCCCTTTATGTAGGATTATTGCCAAAAACTTTAAATTAAAGAATTACCTTAAAATCTTTCAACATTTAAGTAGAATTTAAAAATAGTTAAAAATAAAAATAACATTCTTTATAGAGGATAATTGTTGGTGATTTTTCAATACCTAGGTAGAGTACTAAGAGTTATTTTCCTTGAAATGTTATTTTTGTTTTATTTTATGATTTCACCTTTTTTTTTTAAATTACACATTTTAAAAAAAAAAAGACATTTCTACGCGAAAAAATAATGATGGTACAAGTAGCTAGCAAACAATACTTAAATGTATAAACATAAGAAACGAGTACAAACAATAATGAATAGATACATGAATGTTAATGGATGCTATGCAAGAATGAAATGTAATTTTGAAATTAGGTTCTTAAATGAGATTACTTGGACTTTTCAACCTTCAGGCATAATTTAGGTGTGACTATTTATATTTAAGATCTCATTTTTTTATTTTTTCTTTTATTTAATCACATTATTGTTACGGGTTAATGACTTGTACAAAAAACTTAATGAAATAAAATTTTTTAAATACCTCATCTTCTAGGCGACATTCGAAAATAAATTATTTCACATAAGATTTTCATACATATCCTTAAAATTTTGGGATGGTTTTGGGTACGGGTTTAAGTCGTGATTTTAGGGTTTGAAGGATTTTTGGGTGACGATTTAGGAGTTACGAATCAAATTTAGGGTTTGGGTTAAATTGAAGGTCTTGGATTTTGGTTTTTGGTTTTTGGTTTTTAGGGTTTTGAAATTTAGTGTTAGGGCTCTAAAGGTTTAGGATTTTGGATTTTAGATTTTAGGGTTTCAGGGTTTAGGGTTTCAGGGTTTAAGATTTTTAATATTTAGGGTTTAGGGTTTTAAAGGTTTTAGGGTTTTGTATTTTAGGGTTTCAAAGGTTTTAAGGTTTGGAAAGGTTTGGATTTTTAGGGTTTATGGTTTTAAAATTTTAGGGTTTTGAGGGTTTATTGTTTTAGGGTTTCGAGTTTTAGGGTTTATGGTTTTGAGCATTTTAAGGTTTTGAAGTTTTAAGATTTTGAATTTTGGGGTTACAAAGGTTTTAGGGTTTATAATTTTAGATTTTTAAGGTTTAAGGTTTTGAAATTTAAAGGTTTTGAAATTTAAAGGTTTAGAATTTTAAGGTTTTCAGTTTTAAGATTTAAAATTTAAGGTTTTGAGGGTTTTGAAGTTTTAAGATTTTGAATTTTAAGGTTTCAAGGGTTTTGGGGTTTGGAATTTTGGATTTTAAGATTTAGGGTTTTAAAATTTTAAGGTTTTGAGGATGTATGATTTCAGGGTTTTGAGTTTTAGGGTTTAAGATTTTAAGGGTTTTAAGGTTTTGAAGTTTAGAGTTTCAAGGGTTTCGAGGTTTGAAATTTTGGATTTGTAGGGTTAGGGTTTTAAAATTTTAAGGTTTCGAGGGTTTATGGTTTTAGAGTTTTGAGGGTTTATGATTTAAAGTTTTAAGGATTTTAAGATTTTGAAGTTTTAGAGTTTTGAATTTCAAGGTTTCAACGATTTAGATTTTTAGGATTTTGAAATTGTAGGTTTTCGAGGGTTTGTGATTTTAGGGTTTCGAGACTTTAAAAAAATGAACATTTCTAAAAATCCTTAACGTCTAGGTAAACTTTTGGAGTAAGCTCACTTTTTATAATTTTTGAAAATTAATTAAATTTTTTCATAAAATTTATTATTATTATTATTATTATTTATTACTTATTTGTTTGTATTCTTATTATTTAATAATTCTCCAACATTTAGATGAAATTTCTTACTATTATTCTTTTAAAAAAATAATTTTTATTCTTTCTATCATCTAAGTAAGGAAAAAAATTTTTTTTATTATTCTATTTTTATTATCATTTATATATATTTTTTAATTTTTTGGTTATTATTCTTCTTTATTTTTCAAATTTAAAAATATAAAAAATTTTAAATCATTTTCATTTTTATTATTGTTATTATTATCTAGTTATTTTTATTATATTATTTTATAAGGTTTATTTTAAATTTTTAACAAAATTTTCAAAAATTTAAACTTTATCACTCATTATTTATTTTTATTTATTTATTTATTTTGTTTCCATTTTTATTAATTATTATTATAAAACAACAAATATTTATTCTAACAAATTTAAAAGTTTGAACATGCATAAATAATAATAATAATAATAATAATAATAATAATAATAATAATAATAATAACTCAAAACGACAAAAATAATGTAACAAAATAATTAAAAAAAAACCTAAACTAGATTGGTTAACGGTCCGATCCATGCGGGTCAGGGTGGTTTGAATTGGTTTAATTGGATTGGTCAGAGATTGAAGAATAAGAGGGAGTCAGGTCAATGTGCAAACCTCGAGTCAATTTGTCGGGTCACGTACGAATCATTGGGGCTAAAATAGTGTCGTTTTAGCTTTTAACATACTATAAAACCTCAAAAAAAAAATTTAGCTCATTTTTCCCCCTTCAAAAAAAAAAAACTTTTTTTCTTCTCTCAACCAAAAATCCTAGGGCTGGTTAGTATCCCAGGGACATGTATTTATGAGAATTAGGAATAGGGTATATATATGATAACAATTTTATTCGAAGCCAACTCGAGGATTTTTCAATAGTTTTTTTTTTTTTTTTGAAAAGAAGGTATGTGATGTTGGAGATGATCTAAATTGATGTGGGTTGAAAAATATAATGATCAAAATTGAATTGTGAGTCTGAAAATAAATAAGACCGAGACTGAACTGCGAGTCAAGCATAAAGATGTTTGAGACTAATAAAGATAATTGAGATTGAGCTACAAGTCGAAAAAATAAATATGACTGTGACTAAGTTGCAAGTCCAGAATAAAAATAACTAAGATTGAACCGCAAGTCCAAAAATTAAAATAATTGAGACAGAACCATGAGTCGAAGAATAAATATGACTAGGACTAAACTGTAAGTCAAAGAATAAAGATGATCGGGACTAAGCCATAAGTCAAATAAGATGACTTTTAATCTGAGCTTGCGTGCCAACTAATTCTAGGCTTTCATGCCAACTAATCTAGGCTTGTGTGCCAACTACACTAGGCTTAAAACTTCATTAATACTAGATAAACTAGACTTAAATTTGGGTGTCAGCTAAATTGGAGCTTAAAATCTTTTCATGGTGTGCCAGATAATTTAGGCTTA